GGTAAATTACTTTCCTGGATGTAAAAAAAGCCATTTGCTCGTTTGATTGCTATTCTGTCCCTAGCTCTCTTTAAATGAAACCATTCAGGAGTTTTTTAAAAGGCAGCATAGGTGCAAGTCAATAGAATATTTTAAACAGCAAATTATCTGAATTTTAAAGGGATTCCGTCTCGGTGGTACTGGAATCATCAGATTATTAGGGAAAATTACTTTCCTGGATGTAAAAAAAGCCATTTGCTCGTTTGATTGCTATTCTGTCCCTAGCTCTCTTTAAATGAAACCATTCAGGAGTTTTTTAAAAGGCAGCATAGGTGCAAGTCAATAGAATATTTTAAACAGCAAATTATCTGAATTTTAAAGGGATTCCGTCTCGGTGGTACTGGAATCATCAGATTATTAGGGAAGCTTGCGACGCTCAGCTCCTGGCAGCCTTGCTGGAAAGCACGGCATCAATGAACAAACACATTTCTTGAGAAGAAAAAAGCCAAAGAAACCCTCTTCTATTCCACATGAAAGCGGTAAGTGATGAGGGAAAGTTTCCTCCAAGTGCTGCATGTTGGGTAAGGATTTCCACAGTCCTAGTCACACAGCTCACTGCTCCAATACGCCACGCAACTCAAAAGCGCATTTTCAAATGGTGAACACATTCAGAACAGCAATGCCTCCTTGTGAAAGATTTAGAGGAAATATAAGCTGCTCAAACTTCAGGATAAATAGGGTAACGGGGTGGCACACAAGGACTTCAGTCCTTTCTCCAAAAGCACTTCAGCTTAGTGCCGCCGCCCCCCCGGCAGACTCACTGTTTTAAGGCCGCCGAAGGCAACGGTTCGTACCTCACCAAGCGAGTAGTAGCGCCGTGGAATCTGGGAGTCGGGGTAGATGTTTTCCAAGTACCACGAGAAGGGTTTACACTTCAGATTCTCTCGCAGTGCTTTTCTGACGGATACGTCGCCATAATCCACCTTAACAACACCTGGAATTGTTAAGAGAACAGATGATCAAAGCACAGTTTTGTAGAGCCACAAAGCATAAATCACAGATCCCTCTCCAGTTGTCATGATTCCCTTTTTATCGACATCCATTCGCTGGAGTTAGGGTACAGCGACAGGTGAACACAAGCCGCTGCTACACTGCAGATCTTCACAAGCAGCAAATGATTAATGTAGCAAACTGAAATACTTGAAAATTACGTTTTTTCTTTTCAGATCATTATCGATCTGCAAAGGCAGGACCCTCTGAACTCCTGGATTTCTTCATATTCCATAATATTAAAGAGAGGAAACCCATATCCCTTCATGTTTTTACATACCATCTTTTCCAAAGCGTCTTTGCTGGTGTTTTCCAGCACGCTGTTCTGAGAGAAACAGCTTGGAAAAGGCACGGCTAGCTTACGGACCCAATCTAGATCACCCCTTGGGTGATTACACCAGAAAGGGCACGCCCTCCATCCCGAGAAAGCCCACTGCTCCTAAAGGGAGATGATGTCCCGTCATGCCATGGTTGAAGTGTGACCACTCCTACCGCAGAGACCTGAGCCAGCAGCATCCCACTGGCCATCAGCGGTGATGTGGGCCAAAAAGCAGAAATACAGGTCATGAAGAGTAAAAAAAAAATAGAATAATAATCAAGGAGAGGGGAAATCAGTTAGAAATCCCCCTTGTACAGCACATTCTTATTTAAATTAAAATAATCTACGGTGCTTTCAAGACTTGTGACAGCTGGTCAAGCAATTTATTTATCTGTTGATGACAGAAGCATGCACCCAGGAAAAGACATTTCAGAGGGAGGACACAGACACGGCTGCACACCCCAGACACAGAAGAGAGGAGCACTGACCGTGCATGGGACACCAACGCGCATCCGACACCTCACCACCCGAGCACATGAGCACTGCCGACAGAGCAAGTCCACCACAGGGGTGATGCCAAAAAAAATCAACATCCCAAGTGCACGAAAAAGGAAATTTCAAGTTTTAATAGCATTCCTGAAGCCTTTGAGACGCAGCACTCGCTCTCCAGGCACTCCGTGTAACCCAGGGTAGGAGGCTGGCCCCATGCCTGCCCGCCCGGGGGCCATGGTGACGCCAGCATCGCCGAAGGGCAGCAGAGCCGAGCGCTGCCGGAGATGCCACCGCAGGACACACCGCTCCCGGGGCCACAGGGAGCAACTCGGCACTCCGCCTTCCAACACTCCTTGGCAAGAAACCCATCCGGATGAGAAGAACCGTCAGACATACACTTCTAGCGCCCAAGAAAGGTAGATTTCATATAATCAACTTCTTAACTTTCTGTATGAAGGAAGTATAACAGGAAAATGCTATTTCCATTTTCTACCCTCTTATCAAGGGGCGCATATGATTTTCAGAACTGAAAAATACTACTGAACCAGGAACCTGCAACATCCTTTTCAACACCAACATAATCCAGGAATGGGACAGCTCAGGAAGGAATGAAGCATCCCTAAAAGGAACATAAAGGCCAGCCTTAGGGTGCTCAGACAACTCGAAGATAACCAAAAAGCATGTCAAATATTCCCTGTAGCCTAAATTTAATCTAATTTTAGATGAGCAATCTCCAAAGAAGCAGGGGCAGGCAAAGCGTTAGTAGCTGCCAGCACTCCGCTACGATAGTCTGAAGGGCACTCCCAGATTGCTATCTGAAATCCATGCTGCATTTCCATCATCTTCTGCTTTCCATTATTCATCGGGTCTTATTTTGAAATTACCACAGAGGTGAAGCTCCAAGGATATCAGCACATTCTGCTTGGAAATCACACCCTAAAGCATAAGATCATGTGAATTTTTAAAGAAATTCAGGACACAACAACAAACTACTCAGTAAAACTTCAGTAAAACTACTAATTAACAAAAATTTAACTTGTTTTGGATAACCACTCCTCCATATTTCCAAATCTTTACCAGTCAGGTCTGACAAATCATGTTTATGCATCATTATGTGACTGTAGAATATGACGTAATCCTAGATAATTAACTAAAACACAGGATACTCTACAAATTATTGCTGCAGGCTAAAATCCAGGCAGGTGCTCCTGGGAAGCACTTTAGCCTGATCTCAATGGCTGGGGGTGACTGATGCTTCATCAAAAACTCCTTGGAAACCGAACGTTCTTGGTTGGGGCCAAGCAACGAAGCGGCACTCACTGCACTTTCAGACAGTTTAAACTTCAGTAAAGAGAATTATTCAAATGAAACCTTCAACCACAGCCCACACAGAGAAATTAAATTGCAGTGACTTAGGGGATGGCAGGAAAGCGAGCACCAAGCAAATCCACGTGGGATCCAGGCGGTGCTACCCTCCAGCAGACACAACCGGAAGTGGACTTACCCCAGCCATGGGGACATCAGAGGCACAAGCAGCATGTGGGGTGGGGAAGGCATTGGAAGGGACACAAAGGGTGGGGTGGGGGCATAAGGAAAACCCTCGAAGAGGACCAGAAAGGTGCTTGGGAGCACAAACTGCAGGGACTCAGGTGGAAATGCAAGAGGTATAGGGAAGCTGGGCTCATGGCACAGATGCGATGGACAGGAGGCTTCGTCTGCTCTGCAGCTCTCAGCACATCTTCTGGGCTACAGGATGTTCACTAAGGTATTTGGGGAGGTTTTACCAAATTCTTAAAGGACTGAGAGTTTATTTTCCCAATAAACAAGTAATATATCAGCTGTTCTGCAATCAAGGAAATTGATCACAGCCTTTCCTTTGACTCTTTAGGGGAAGAAAAGTATCAAAAGGTCAGTATCACAGTTATTTTTTATCTTTTCAACTGGCAATTCTTCTCTAAGCACAACTCCCGCAGTCACTAATTTAACCCACATTACCTCGAACACCTAGGCGCCTGAGGAAGAAACACCACGCTTCCAGGAAGTAGCATCTTACGGCTGCTCCGTTGCTTTGTGTCCATCTACCATCACCACAAAAGGACCAAAGCAGACACCGAAGAGTACGACCCCTGGATGGGGTGGGGCAGGAACAGGATTGTGACACCGGTTTTGCTAGAGAACATCTGTATTTGTCACGGGTACGTACCAGTGGTGGAAGGCCAAGAACACGTGTCTGGCTTCACAGGCTCTCTGTGCAACGTGTGCTACACAGGACTGAGCTGAAAACACCTTTGCTTTCAGAAAAGAGACATTATTGGGGAAAAAAAATAAAAACAATGTGTTCCAGGCAAGCTTTTACGGGCGCAGGGGAGTGGGGGTCTGTGATTGCTGCCCAATCCTCCGGAAGAGACGTGTGCTACTGCCATTATTTGTGTTACTCAATCTTTATCTATAATTAAGCTCATCTTCCTCATGGGAAGGCGCTGGAAGTGTTAGGAGAAAAGCAATATCTGTGTTGCGTAGTGCTCTGTACCGCGGGGATCTGATGAAGCTGCACATGAGGAAAAAGGATATTAACACTCTCACAGTTTGCGATGGCAAACAACGCGGCCGACCCCCGCCGCATCCGCACGCTTTGATATTCCAGCTACAAACCCTGCCAGAAACACCCTCTCTCAATGAAAATTACCCTGTGGATTCACCAAACACCTTGTTCCTACTGTGCTTTACAATTCTTACAGGGAATCCTGTTCCCACATTTGGTTCAGCCCTGCAATTGCTGGAATAGAAAGCAATGAACCGTTTTCCACTCAACCTGACTCAACTTCATACTTGAGCTTTCTCTAATTAAACATATCTCAGCAAAATAAATGCTATTTTTCAATTTTAATAAAACTTGGACGTAGGGATGGGAGGTCTTTGGCTGTTTGGGCACGCCCACCTCACTGGGGTAGGTTCACCTTAAGGCTCTTCATGTCCTGACAGGTTCTCCCTTTCCATAGCTCCTCTGTTATATATATATAGATATTTTTCCTCCTGGACAAGCTGGGCTGGCTGATTTCAGCAGTTCACTCACGCTGCACGTAGCGGTGCTAGCACACACACCTGCCTTCTCTTCCAGCAAGGACCTCGTTGGTATGGAGCTCCAGTAAACCCTGATATTCCCCACTGCTCCACTTAAAACCAAGCTATTATGAATCAATACCTACTGATGTCACTTCTTGCTAAATAATGGATGGGACTCAGAGGAAATACAAAAATAATTGATGACTAATAAGTCTGCTTACACTTAAATAAGAAAACGTAAGTAAAATGTCCTTGTGTGCAAAGAGAGAAATGAGACATCACAAGAAGCTACAGAAAGTGTAGGGTGCAAAAGAAGGGATTAAAAATACCTCAGAAATGTAGCAGATTGTTTTAACAGAGCAGCAGCTGCGTGTCAAATAAAACAAATTAAACGGTTGCAGCTTTGCATTACACCTGCATTTTTTTCTAATGAGTATGTCCTGCAAACTGGAGTGCAAGGACATTGTCTCAAAACCGGCCAAATGTGCCGTTTCTGCAGAAGATGACATTAATTCATGAGGATAAAGGTGAAAAAAAATTCATCTGAAATGAAAGAAATTGCAGACCTGAGACTAATTCTCTTTATGTACGAACGACACGCTGCAAACTTCATCCAAATGAGGCTTTTGCTATTTTCTGCTGCCTGGAAAAGTCTGAGAGGAAACCCGTGTTTGGCTGAACCGACATCCTGGCGTGTCCAACAGGAGAGCCAGGAGACCCCAGAAGCCCAGACAACGCACATCCCCCTGTAGCTCAGGACCGAAAACCTGCATCGCGTGGCACGGTAGCCAGCTCCTTCCCAGAGGTGGCCCCTTTAAGAGAGAAAGCCAAGAGCCAAGGCAGAGACCCCTGGGAACCTCCAGAGATGGAGGTGGTTTAGTTTGATTTTTTGCCTTTTTTACTACCAAAGCAGCATTCAGAATTATGTTGCATTTCATAGGTCTAAAGATGCCAAAGTGCTAAAGTAAAAATGAGTTTGCCACACCAGGATGCCTGGCATAGCACACGTTACAGAGAAAAAACAAGAAAACTCCCTAATAACATTGGAAAAACACCCATTTCCATATCAA